GAAGATCTCTCTGTGTCTTTCCCTCTCTCTCTGTAATTCTTTCAAATAAATAAATAAATCTTTAAAAAAAAAAAAAAAAAAGAAAAAAAAAAGATGGCCATCCATGATAGTGTCCAGACAGCAAATCAGCAAGCAAAAAGAAGTAATGCATTCTCTAACAATGAGAAGAAGAAATGTTAACATGTAATAATAATTTGATTAATTCTGAGCTGTTATCAAGCAAACAGCTTGATAACAATTGTTATGGTGGGTGTTGTGGCTAACCTGCTATTTGGGATGTCCACAGCCTTGGACAAATCCCAGCTATTCAACTTCTAATCCAGCTTCATGCAAATGCACATACTGGAGGCAGCAGATGATGGCTCATGTGCTTGGATCCCTGCCAACCACCTGAGAAACCCAGATGGAGTTCTAGGCTCCTGGTTTCAGCCTGGCACAGTCCTGGCTATTGCAAGCATTTGGGGAATGAATCAGCAAATGGAAGAACTCTCTTTCTCTCTCTTATATGGGTGCCAGTTTGAGTCCTAGCTGTTCCACTTCTGATCCAGGTCCCTGCTAATGCATCTGGGAAAACAGTGGAAGATGGCCCAAGTTCTTGGAAGACCTAGACAAAGCTTCTTGGTAATGGCTCTGAACTGGCCCAGCCTAGCTGTTGTGGATATCTGGACAACCAGTGGATGAAAGATATCTCCCCCTGCCTCTGCACCTTTGCCTTTCAAATAAACTTTTTTTTTTCTTTTAAGATTTAATTATTTATTTGAAATGCAGAGTTACAGAGACAAAAGGATAGGCAAAGAGAGAAACTCCATCTGCTGCCTTCCCAAGGTACATTAGCAGGAAGCTCAATCAGAAGTGGAGTAACTGGTACTTGAACCAGGCACTACAATATCAGATGCACATCCCAAGCAGCAACTAAACCTGCTGTAGCACAACACCCACAACAGATAAAGCTTAAAAAAAGGAAATGGAGGGCACTCTACCTTAAAAAATATATTTATAGTACCTGTAACATTTCCTTTCAATGTAGTGGACAACTAAATCTACTGGATTCCTCCATCAGTTAAGAGCTAAAGGAATCTTATTATTTATTAATTGTATCAAATGTTTATTTATTTATTTAATTCTATAACCACCCCATCAGATAGTTACTACTATCTCATTTTTTACCCATGAGAAAACAAAATTTTAAATGTAGGTCAGAGAATCACATTAAAAAGGCTTAGATTGTTAAATTTGTCATCTATATCCAAATATATGGATGATACACAAAGCTACCAACTGGGAGAGGGTAGGGAACAGAAAGGAAAAGGCAAAAAGAGAGAATGAGTGAAACCACAATCAGGTTAGTGCTTTGTAAAGCACAGATCTTTTTCTGAAAAAACATAAAGGTATTGCCTTAAAGGGCACCAGCTATAGATCTAATAATCAATGACACCCATGGGATTCAGACCACGAGGAGTCTGACACAGGAAGCCTGGTCATGTATCCAGAAGGTTAGATGGGGGAAATCCCTTAAAAAAGAAAACCTTATTAACTGCATAGGCACAAAGTAAGGGGACAAGCACTTGTCAATCTTCCTCACTGACAAATCCAAGCGCAGCTCTGATCACGTTACCCAGCCTACAAGGGCTAACAGGATGTCCACTGGCACAGGGTCAGGAGATCTGTGTTCCACATTGCTAATCTGTAAAACCAAGAGGTTGGATAACCTTACCTCTCCAGTTCCTCACAGCTGGAGAACTCCTTAAAATACAGAACACTGAAACTGTTGCTGAACATGACCCAGGTAAGCCATGAATCTTAAAGGGAGGTGAGACATCTTCAGTGCCTCCCTAAGATCAGTCGCTACATTTAATTTATTTCACTCCATAATGCTGCAAATTCTGCCTATTTTCTGCTCTTTTTCAGAAAAAAAAAAAAGAAGACCATTTTAGGGGGATAAGGGACAGATGGTGGGGACGTTTGTTGTGGCACAGCAGGTTTCACTGCTTGTCTCACTAACAGTTCACATGGGCACCGTTTCTGGTCCCAGCTTCTTCGCTTCTGATCCAGCTCCCTGCTAATATTCTTGAGAAAGCAATGGAAGATGGTCCAAGTACTTGGGTCGCTTGCTTCAGCCTGGGCAAGCCTCAGCTGTCGCAGCCATTTGGGGAGTGAACCAGCAGGTGGAAGATCTCTGTCTCTCCCTCCTTCTGTGGTCCCTCTGCTTTTCAAATAAACAAAAAATAAATCTTAAAAAAAAAAAAAAAGAAAAGAAAAGAAAAGAAAAAGAAAGAACAGATGGTGGGGTTAAGATACTTGTGTTCAAACTCTTTTTTAGAGGTTCAAAACAGGCAATTTCCACAGCACTCTAAAGTTTCAGTCACACAGTGTAGTACAAATGTCATAATGTCAACTATAAAAATGTGTATGAGGAGGGCCCAGCACTGTGGTGTTGCAAGCCTTCACCTGTGGTGGGCTGGGCCTCCACCTGTGGTGGGCACCAGTTCGTGTCCTGGCTGCTCCTCTTCCAATCCAGCTCTCTGTTTGTGCCCCTGCACCCACGTGGGAGCCCTGGAAGAAGCTCCTGGATCCTGGCTTTGGATTGGCACAACTCCAGCTGTTGTGGCCGTTTAGGGAATCAATTAGCAGATGGAAGACCTTTCTATTTCTCCCTCTCTTTGTCTGTAACTGTCTCTCTCAAATAAATAAATAAATCTTTAAAAAAAAATGTGTATATGTGAGGATACTCACTGATAATATGTACAAAGGAAGGGCTGGTACTGTGGCATAGCAAGTAAAGTCACTGTCTACATTACCAGCATGAGATATGGGGTGCCGGTTTGAGTCCCAGCTGCTTTACTTCCAATCCAGCTCTCTGCTATGGCCTGGGAAAGCAGTAGAAGATGGCCCAAGTCCTTGGGCCCCTGCACCATGTGGGAGATCCAGAAGAAGCTCCTGGCTCCCAGCTTCAGACTGGTGCAGCTCCAGCTGTTACAGCCATCTGGGGAGTGAACCAGTGGATGGAAGACTTCTCTCTCTCTCTCTCTTTCTCAGCCTCTGCCTCTCTGTAACTCTGCCTTTCAAATAAATAAATAAATCTTATAAAAAAAAAATACATACAAAGGAAAGCAGTAATAGCTGGATGTGCAAATGAAAATAATATTCCTTCACAAAATACTGTTCTATGCACTTTTCAATAGCATCACTTCATTTCTTCTTCCCTTTTTTCTTTATCTTCCCTCTCTACCTGAGTTCTAACAGACAGCTGAGTCCTGTTTTTGTTTTATTTTTATTTATTTGGGAGGGAGAGAGATACTGTTCTTATCCACTTGTTCACTCCCCAAATGCCCACAATGGCCCTAACTGGGCCAAGCTGAAGCTGGGAGCCAATAAAAAAACTGGGAGCCCACTTGGGTGACAAGAATCCAACTACTTGAGCTACCGCCTGCTGCTTCCCAGGGTGCACATTAGCAGGAAGCTGGAGTCAGGAGCTGCCCTGGAGCTGGGTATCAAATCCAGATAGTCCTGCTAGGCTAAATATCTTCTCTAAAATACTCCAATGTCTGACAGAATCAATATAGAGCAAAAACTGTTTTAACCTTTGGCTTCGGCAATGCAGCCACCCAATAATCAAGCTGCTTTCCATAAACACTTGAATAAATTTACATTAATAAATCAGGATACTTGTTGATTTTGGAACTGGCTTTTTACTAAAATAAACAGCTTTAAATAATTGTAAATACAAAAGAAAAGGAAGAAAGTCTTATCCATCCAGCAATTCTATTTCTGTGTAATATATCCAAAAGAATTGAAAGAAAGGTGTTGAAGAGGTATTTATACACCAATGTCAATACAGCACTATTCACAAAACCAAAGGGGAGAAGCAACCCAAAGCAACCCAAGTGTCCATCAATGGAGGAACAGATAAGTAAAATGTGGTGTTATATGTAGAGTGGAAAATTATTATTGTTATTATATGGCTTTAAAAAGGAAGGGAATTCTGGTATATACTACACACTGATGAATCTTGAAGACCTTATGCTAAGTGAAAACAAGCCAGTCACAAAAGGACAGATTGCATGCTTCATATATAGGAGGGAACTGAAGTAGTCAATTCAGAGATAGAAAGAACAGTGGTTGCCAGGGAGGGACTGGGGGAAGGAGGGGATGGCACACTGTTTAATGGGTGTGGAGTTATTGTTTTGTAAGATGAACAGAATTTTGAAGGTTGGTTGCACAACAATACAAATATACTTAGCACTACTGATCTATACATTTAGAACATTAAGATGGCAATTTTTATGTTTTGTCTATTTGCCACAATAAAAAACAGAACTTTCTTATATCCCGAAGTGAAAACTTAGGTTGAGAGCTCTTTTAGTTTTGAACTACCACCTTATCCATTATTTCAACAACACATCATTTCAGCAACAAGTCAAGCAATACAAATAGCGCTTTTTGAATACCTTATGCTGTTTAATGACAGGTGTGTTGTCCAAAATAATTAGCTTTTAAAAAGGAACAGCCTTAACTCTCCTCTGGAGCTGGGTAGTAACCGTAGTTTCCCTTCATTAAGCTCTTGACAGCTCAGTGTCCTCACATCTGTCACTGTTTGAGAGACTGAGTCCAAGAACATAAACGGCTTCAAGGACCAGGCAACACATTATTCTGGTTCATGGGACAGATTTGAACCCATCTGTTTTTTAATCAAAAGCCATATTTGAATCAGTTTTGTTCCATCACAGGACCATACTAACGGGAGCAATACAGTCAGATGGTATTTTCCTTCTCCCTTTCTATGCAGCACAGATGATTACAGGAAACCCAAATCCCTTAAAGGCACAAGAGCACCCTCAGAAACAGCATCTCTGCAGACTGTAGTATAAACTACCTTTTCAATCTTTACATGTTTCTTTTTCACACATTCTGATTACTTTCCCCCTGAGTGACAGATATCTTCAAGAATTACACCAGGGGGTGGGGCGGGTAAGTATTCCTATTTGTAAGAAGCAACTTACCTCAATCTTTTTTTAAGTTGTAAACTGTCATGGATGATCCTTTTAACAAACTCTAATTCACCTCCTTCTGCCATGATCTCTGTGACACCTCCCGTATTCACAGAGCTAGGTGGAGGTCGTCGAGGATTCCGAGAGTTCACTCCCTGAATACAACAAAACAATCTGGTGAAAAATTTTCACACCTTAAGAATCAAGCCTTCGAATGTAATCTAGCTCCACATTAGAATGCTTTAGAATGATTTAATTTTACTTTCCAAATATTAGACTAGACTTAGGTCTAAATATCATATAGCCACTACATTATATTTTTTATTTTTATTTATTTACTTATTTGTAAAGATTTATTTATTTATTGAAAGGCAGAGTTACAGAGAGAGAGAGAGAGAGAGAGAGGTCTACCATCCGCTGGTTAACTCCCCAGATGGCTGAAACCGCCAGAGCTGTGCTGATCTGAAGCCAGGAGCCAGGAGCTTCCTCCGGGTCTCCCACATGGATGCAGGGGCCCAAGCACTTGAGCCCTCCTCTACTGCTTTCCCAGGCCATAGCAGAGAGCTGGATTGGAAGAGGAGCAGCCAGGATGTGAACCGGCACCCATATGGGATGCCAGCACTGCAGACGGGAGCTTTAACCCGCTGTGCCACAGCGCCTGCCCGAGTCTCGCTCTTGCATTCACTGCACGCCCCTCACGTATGCATTTGCTTCATGGACTTGCCACCCTCACATATGGGTGCCGGTTTGAGTTCCGCTGCTTCACTTCTGATCCAGCTTTCTGCTATGGCCTGGAAAAGCAGTGGAAGATGGCCCAAGTGCTTGTGCCCCTGTGCCCCCGTGGAAGACAAAGAAGAAACTCCTGGCTCCTGGCTTTGGATCTGCCCAGCTCTGGCCATTACAGACATCTGGGGAGTGAACCAACAGATGGACGACCTCTCTCTCTACCTCTACCTCTGCCTCTCTATAACTCTGCCTTTCAAATTAATAAATAAATCTTTAAAAAAAAATATTTAGAGGCCGGCGCCGCGGCTCAATAGGCTAATCCTCCGCCTGTGGCGCTGGCGCATTGGGTTCTAGTCCCGGTCGGGGCACCGGATTCTGTCCCGGTTGCTCCTCTTCCTATCCAGCACTCTGCTGTGGCCCGGGAGTGCAGTGGAGGATGGCCCAAGTCCTTGGGCTATGCACCCGCATGAGAGACCAGGAGAAGCACCTGGCTCCTGCCTTCAGTTCAGCGTGGTGCGCCGGCCGCGGCAGCCATTGGAGGGTAAACCAACGGAAGGAAGACCTTTCTCTCTGTCTCTCTCTCACTGTGCACTCTGCCTGTCAAAAAAAAAAAAAATTTAAGAAGTTAATAATAAAAACGAAAAATAATCCAATTTAAAAATGGCAGACTCTGAACAGCATTTTTCCAAAGAAGAAATGGCCAATAAGCACATGGCAAGAAGCTCAACATCAGTCATCAGAAAAACTAACCAAAATCACAATGAGATAAACACTATCTCACAACTACCAACATGACTATAACCAAAAAGACACATAAGAATTATTGATGAGGATATATGGAAAAGTGGAACTCTCAAATACCACTGCTGACAGGAATATAAAATGGTATAGTAACTTTAGAAACCAGTCCCGGCCAGCGCCGTGGCTCACTAGGCTAATCCTCCGCCTAGTGGTGCCGGCACACCGGGTTCTAGTCCCGGTCAGGGCGCCGGATTCTGTCCCAGTTGCCCCTCTTCCAGGCCAGCTCTCTGCTGTGGCCCGGGAGTGCAGTGGAGGATGGCCCAGGTGCTTGGGCCCTGCACCCCATGGGAGACCAGAAACACCTGGCTCCTGCCATCGGATCAGCGCGATGCGCCGGCCGCAGCGTGCCAGCCGCGGCGGCCATTGGAGGGTGAACCAACGGCAAAGGAAGACCTTTCTCTCTGTCTCTCTCTCTCACTGTCCACTCTGCCTGTCAAAAAAAAAAAAAAGAAAGAAAGAAAGAAAGAAACCAGTCCCAGTTCCCCAAACAACTAAACATAGAGTTAGCATATGATCTATTAGTTATATTACAGGGTATATACCTACAAAAAATGAAAATCTACATCCAGGCCGGCGCTGTGGCTCAATAGGCTAATCCTCCACCTGCGGCGCTGGCACTCCAGGTTCTAGTCCTGGTTGGGGCGCCGGATTCTGTCCCGGTTGCCCCTCTTCCTGTCCAGCTCTCTGCTGTGGCCCAGGAGTGCAGTGGAGGATGGCCCAAGTCCTTGGGCCCTGCAACCTGCATGGGAGACCAGGAGAAGCACCTGGCTCCTGGCTTCGGATCAGTGTGGTGCGCCAGCCGCAGTGGCCATTGGCGGGTGAACCAACGGAAAAAAGGAAGACCTTTCTCTCTGTCTCTCTCTCTCACTGTCCACTCTGCCTGTCAAAAAAAGAAAAAAAAATCTACATCCACAGAAATAGCTGTACAGGAATGCTTATGACAGCTTTATTCATATGAGTCAGAAAGTAGAAACAAAGCAACCCAAATAGGAGTAGGCCCTTGGCCTAATGGTTAAGACATTGTTTGAGGCACTGATATGTTAGTTACAACATGAATGAACCTCGAAGTAGGCAAATCTACAGAAAGTAGACTGGTAGAGGCTTAGGCCTCAAGAGCGCTGGAGAGAAACAAAGGGACTACTACTGGGTAATGGATTTCTTTCCATGGTGATGAAAATGTTCTAAAACTTATGACAACTGCACAGCTGCACAGCTCTGAGAACATAACACAAATCATGACATTCCATACATTAGATAGGTGAGTTTTATGGCATATGAATTATATCTCATTGAGGCTTTTGTAAAAAATACTTAGGTCAGGTGCTGGCAATGTTCTATTTCCTCACTGGCTAGTTCTGTAGGAGTGTTAACTTTGGAAAAGCCAACGTATCATACAGACTTCTTATTTTTTTGTTTTATTTTTAATTTGAGGGAGGAGAAGGCACACACTCTGACCTGTTGGTTTACTCCCCAAATGCCCACAAAAGCCAGGACTAAACCAGGAGTCAGGAACTCAAGCCAGGTTTCCCATGTAGGTGGAAGAGAAACAACTACTTGAGCCATCTCCACTGCTTTCTAGGGTGTGCATTAGTAGGAAGCGGAGTTGAGAGCCAAGAATTGAAACCAGGTATTTTGATATGGGACAAGGGCATCTTAACTGGTGTCTTAAGCACTAGACAAACATACACCCAACATGTATGTACTTTTATGTACATATATTATTATTTTTAATTTTATTCTAGTCTGTGATTATATTAGTTCATATAATTTATCTTCAGTTAAGGCTAAAATTTAGATTTCTTAAATCTTGCTTCACTTTATGTTCCAATCTGGAATGCTCACTATTATCATTGGTAGTAAATTTTTACCAATACCTCTACTCTACCAAAAAAATTACTCAATTTGTACTTTGTTACTAGGCATGCAAATGGAACTTTTAGGGTATCTGAATGATTCTACAAATGGTTCAACCTTTCCTAAGTTTTTTTTTGACAGGCAGAGTTAGACAGTGAGAGAGACAGACAGAGAGAAAGGTCTTCCTTCCGTTGGTTCATCCCCCAAATGGCCACCACGGCCAGAGTGCTGCACTGATCGGAAGCCAGGAGCCAGGTGCTTCCTCCTGGTCTCCCATGTGGGTGCAGGGCCCAAGCACTTGGGCCATCCTCCACTACCTTCCTGGGCCACTGCAGAGAGCTGGAATGGAAGAGGAGCAACTGGGACAGAATCTGGTGCCCCAACTGGGACTAGAGCTCGGTGTGCCGGCGGGAGGATTAGCCTAGTGAGCTGCGGTGCCAGCCTATCCTTTCCTAAGTTTTAAGCACCTTCCTCTCCTTATAATTAATGTTACTTTTTATTATTAATGGAAGGTTTGCTGGATGAAGGAAAATGGCTAAATCAATACTTTTTTATAGCACTGAAATTTTATAATAGGTTGCTCTTTTTATCCAGTGCATCGTTTTCCATGTTCATGGGCAAATATATTTTTTCACTTGAAGGTGGAAAAATGAAATCAGGCACTTGTTCACCTCAAGTGACAGGTGGCAATAAAAACAGTGATTTCTTCCCTAAACCAGTAAATCCAGTCAAGGAGTGGACTATGACCTAAGTTGGTCCAATCAGAAGAAAATCTAATGTCCAATGACTTGGGTAAGAAAGAGCTCTCTTCTCATCCTACCACCCTCTAAGTATTGCTTTGCCACAAGTAAACCAGACAGAGAACAAAAGCAACCAAGTACTAGGTTATAGGCAAGAGAAACTGGAAAGGGGAAAAAAAAAAAAAAAAAAACAGAGCCTCACCCTTTAAGATGGAACTCTTCCATCAAATGGCTACCAAAGACCAAAACTACTGCTGGATTTCTCAGATATGTAAGCCAATAAACTTTCTTTGTTGTTAAGTCACTTTATTTATTTATTTTTTTTTTTTGACAGGCAGAGTGGACAGTGAGAGAGACAGAGAGAAAGGTCTTCCTTTTGCCGTTGGTTCACCCTCCAATGGCCGCCGCAGCCGGCGCGCTGCGGCCGGCGCACCGCACCGATCCGATGGCAGGAGCCAGGAGCCAGGTGCTTTTCCTGGTCTCCCATGGGGTGCAGGGCCCAAGCACCTGGGCCATCCTCCACTGCACTCCCGGGCCACAGCAGAGGGCTGGCCTGGAAGAGGGGCAACCGGGACAGAATCCGGCGCCCCGACCGGGACTAGAACCCGGTGTGCCGGCGCCGCTAGGCGGAGGATTAGCCTAGTGAGCCGCGGCGCCGGCCTGTTAAGTCACTTTTAAAAAAAAAAAAAAAAAAAGATTCATTTGAGAGACAGAATTACAGACCGAAAAAGAGGTCTTCCATCCATTGATTCACTCCCCAAATGGACACAACAGCCAGAGTGGGGCTGATCTGAAGTCAGGAGCCTGGAGCTTCTTCCAGGTTTCCCACGTGGGTGCAGGAGTCCAGGCACTTGGGCCATCTTCTGCTGCTCTCCCAGACCATTAGCAGGGAGCAGGATTGGAAGTGGAGCTGCCAGAACTCAAACTGGCACCCATATGGGATGCTGGCACTGCCGGCTGCTTAACCTACTATGCCACAGCCCCGTTAAGTCAATTTAAATTGGATTTTTAGGTACTTCAAATCAAAAGAATCCTGATATAATTTCTAAAATCAAAGTTGCTCTTTTATCGGTAAATAAGGAAAATTTACTTAAAGTAGAAGCATTGGAATTACTTTAAAGCAGATATTTTACCTTGGCTTCTAATTGATTGGCAAAAAAGGGAGGGTTGCACATGCAGAAGTCATAGATAATCTCAGATTCTTCCTTAAGCGCATCCATCAGGAGGGTCTTCTGTGGCACCTTTACCACTAGGAGAAAACACAGGAATTATTAACAGCTACTGATGCTGTGGGGGCTCTAAAACATGACCATACATTCTCTGATGCTACTCCCTTGATGAAGAGATGCTCCACATCGTATGCTTTCAGGGCAATGAAGACTGAAACAAGGGATACCACTACATACCTACTAGGATGCCCAAATTCCTGAACACTGACAACCCCAAGAGCTGTCAAGGATGTGAACAATGGAACTCTCATTTATTGCTGCTGTAATACAAAATGGTTCAGCTACTTTGTACAGCTACTTTGTGGAGAGATATGGGGTGGGATGACTATATATTTTTATTATCAAGGAATCCATTTTTATGATTGTCATGAAGCCCAGGTTGAGTTAACAGTGATGGGTTTTGGGGATAACATTTCTCCACCCTGAACTTACTGGTTGCAATCTTTCTTCTTCTCAACCTCAACTGAAAACCCCGACTCACAAGGCCTCAATCCCTGCCCTCCTATTTCTGGCCAAAGTCAAATATGTAGGAGGTTTTTTCAGAGAAGAACATGACTTTGTCTTCCCAGAAGACAAACCCTCCACTTTACTTTATGAGGCATATAGCAGCCCTAAACCACAGACACGTTTGGGCCTGCGCAGACCTCAACAGGTTCAGCTGCTTTGGAATACATTTTGATGGTTTTCTACAGAACATCTTTCCACACAATCCAATAAGTGTGCTCCTTGATATTTACCTGAAGGAGTTGAACACTCATGTGTACAGAAACTCCGCACACATATATCTAAAGCAACTTCATTCATAATTGCCAAAACTTGGAGGTATCCCATATGGGTGCCAGTTTGAGTCCAGCTGCTCTCTATCTCTGCCTCTGTCTCTCTGTAACTCTGCCTTTCAAATAAACCAATCTTTAAAAAAATTTATTCATGAAAATAAGTAAATAAGTTCATTTCAGCAAACAGGCAAATTCACAAATATGGAATCCACAAATTGTGAGGACAGACTGCATTTACCATGTTCTTTGTGAGCTAATTATAGTATCAAAACAACAAACGTTACAATGGACCAGAATTTTTTAAATGACCAACGTCTGCATTAAAGCAAGAGAAGAGACTTGTGAAACCAGAAAGGTTTATAAACCAGCCTTGAAGAAGACAGTTATTCTGTGGAGCTCACCTTTTATGAGATCAGATAAGTTATTCTTTTCCACATTTTTCTTTGCATAGTTGAAACACATATCATCCACTTCTGTTGCAAGGAAATACCAGCCATTTAAGGTTGCTCCAAGTAAGGGATAGATGCAGGATGCTCCAGTTCCTAATAAAATAAATAAAAATTCAAAACACATCCTATACACCAGAGGGAAAGCTAAGAATAACAGTGAAAATATTGTTTTCTGCTCCTCTCAGAATTCTTATAGCTTTCACAATTAAAATCATAAGATAGTAAGTGATTTCATGCATCCCATGGCTACCGAGTTCTCTAGCCGTTTCACATATATTTATCTTCCCTTAGAATTGGATTCAAACTTCTTAGAAAACAAAAAGCTTGTTGCCTTCCTTTTTCAGTATGTTGTATGTTAAAGAAAGTACACATATGGGCCCGGGGCTGTGGCACAGCGGGTTAACGCCCTGGTCTAAAGCACCGGCATCCCATATGGGCACCGGTTCGAGACCCGGATGCTCGACTTCCGATCCAGCTCTCTGCTGGGGCCTGGGAAAGCAGTAAGAAGATGGCCCAAGTCCTTGGGCCCCTGCGCCCGCATGGGGGGCCCGGAGGCAGCTCCTGGCTCCTGGCTTCAGATCGGCGCAATTCTGGCCATTGCGGCCAGATGGGCAGTGAACCATCGGATGGAAGACCCCTCTCTCTTTCTCTCTCTCTCTGTGTAACTCTGACTTTCAAATAAATATATAAATCTAAAAAAAAAAAAAAAAAAAGAAAAGAAAGCACACATAGCTGAAGGCTGTGGAATACAAGACTGATTAACTAAAAATGGTGAAACTCATTACTTAATACAATTTAAATTAATACAAAAATCAATTTTCTTAAAAAAAAAAAAGCAATACTCTTCATTAAAACACATCAAGTCTCATTCTCCAAAGCAAAAAAATAAAATAAAATAAAAAACAAAAAACAAACAAAAAAAACCACAGTCTAAAATGTTTATACTACATTGCTCTAGTCCCCAAATTTCTGTTGTCACTTGAAATAAGTCAGAAGTAAAAAAGGAGAACTCAGTTCTCAGATGTGGTGACAAAAAAAATTTTGATTCAGATTCAAAACACAAGTCATTGGCTGGCCCCACCACAGCTTCAAGTGAGTCATTCACAGGCAAAAAACACCCTTTGACAACCAAGGATTGGTCCTGAACTTGTGGTTAGAACCACTAGCTCTAGAGTGGACTATATATTAACCATAATTATTGCTTTTACAGCCACTGACTAATCTTAGCCAAATTAGATCCTACAGAGTGTACTCAAGTGAAGGCCTGCTTTCCCCTGACCGCATCCTGGTTCCAGTCTAGCCTTCTAAGGACTGGGCAGGCAGAAGTAGAGCCTGGAGCTACTCCTGACACAGGGGAAACCAGGATCATCTTACTGCTTCCTTAGGTGGTGTTCTGAACAGGTAGGCTAAGAAGAAGATTAGACAACTGATGAGCATTTCAGTTCCTTGAGTCACAACGATTCCTACGCTGTCTACTAGGTTTGCCCAAGTCTCCTGGCCCTGATACTGCTGGGCAAATACCTACATGGAGACTTGCAATGAGGAAACAGGGTAAAGGCTACTCAAGATCCTCTCAGAAGCCAGCATTCTTTTGGCCCAGGTGGCCACTCTGGTGAGCCATCGTCATTCAGAGTAGGGGAAAAACCCAGACCACATCCCACAGCCCTAACCCTCACACACAACTGACTCGTTTCATACTTCAACTTCATTTCTAAGAAAAAAATTAGGACCTCCAGGGAAATAAATGCAGGCAAAAGCCCCGTCTGCCCTCACCTTCAGAGTTTCTCAATTCTCAAGACCAGAAGACTTGCATTCTAACATTCCAATCCCCTCAGAAAGTCAAATGACATTTAAAAAATGGGTAATAATCTTCATAATGATAAATAAAAATGGAAAGTAGCTAATCATAGAATTAGAGCAAACTGAGTCTGGGGGAAGATTTTATATAAAACCCTAATTAGAATGAACGTGATTGAAGCAAGCAGTGCCCCTTGTGAAGAGCTAGAATCCATTAACCTTCCATATCCCCAAGTGTTTTTTTTAGAGGGTCTGGGGCACAATTAAAATCAAATTAGTACCAAATAGGTTGTCAAGCATTTTAAGTTTTCTAGAACCCATCAGTTAATCTTCTGTTATATGACTATAAAAGGGTTAAACCCCACTGTAGTAACACAGTACTTGGTTCAGATGAAATGTTCAGAATTTTCTTTTTTTTTATTTTTAGATTTATTTATTTTAGTTGAAAAGCAGAGTTACAGAGAGGGAAAGGCAGACGCAGAGAGAGAGAGTGAGTGAACAAGTGAGAGAGAAATCTTCCACTCACTGATTCACTCCCCAAAATGGCCAAGATGGCTGGAGCTGGGCCCAAGAGCTGCTTCTGAGTCTCCCATGTGGGTACAGGGACACAAGGACTTGGGCCACCTTCCACTGCTTTCTCAACCCATAGCACAGAGCTGGATAGGAAGTGGAAGAGCCGGGACTCAAACCGGCGCCCAATATGGGATGCTGGCACTGCAGGCGGCAGCTTAACTTGCTATACCACAGCACCTGCCCCAGTGCTCAGAATTTTCAACGTTAATGTATCAGAAACTTTGCAAGACCTTAGGATAGTGTATACAGCAAGGAAACAAAAGGCTCTACACTTTCCGATGCAGTGGCAGAGAATGGCATTAATTAAATAACCAAACAAATGAAAACATAGTTAAAAATGCAAATGAATGCCAAGAAGGAAGAATCATGGCTTTCTAAAGCTTGCAACTAAGGAACTCATTTTGGGCTGCACAGTCAGTCGGAGAAGGTTCTCCTGAGAAAACTAAAATACAGTATAATTGAGAATGAACAAGGTGAAGGTAGGGGAAGTCCCAGGTACAAGGAATAACATACGCAAAGGCCTGAGCTCAAGAAGGTTTATTAGAAGAACTAAACGACAACTGTAGAAAACAAGGGTAACAATTTCAAATGATAAGAGAAGCCTGGAAATGAAAGCAGGATCAGACAACAGAAACTGTAACAGGCCAAGTTTAAGTTTTGGACGGTCATCACAAAAGCAACAGGGTACCATTAAAGTGGGAAGGATGTGATCCAATATGGATTTACTCATATTTTCTGGATGCAATGAAGAATGGAGTAGAGAAACAGCAGAGTAGACTAATTGAGAAGCTAGTCTGTAGACAAGATGAGAGATGGTGATTCAGACTGGGCTGGTGGCAGTAGACAGAAGCTGATGATTTAAGATACATTTCAGGGGTCAGCATTGTGGCACAGCAGGTTAAACCACTGCCTGCCACCAGTATCCCAATATCACAATATCAGAGTACTGGTTTGTGTATCCCCCCCCCCCTTTTTTTTTTTTTGACAGGCAGAGTTAGACAGTGAGAGAGAGAAAAGTCTTCCTTTTTTTCCGTTGGTTCACCCCCAAAATGGCCACTAGGGCCGGTGCGCTGCACCAATCTGAAGCCAGGAGTCAGGTGCTTCTCCTGGTCTCCCATGCAGGTGCAGAGCCCAAGGACCTGGGCCATCCTCTACTGCCTTCCCGGGCCACAGCAGAGAGCTGGACTGGAAGAGGAGCAACCAGGACAGAATCCGGTGCCCCAACCAGGACTAGCACCCAGGGTGCCGGCGCTGCAGGCAGAGGATTAACCTAGTGAGCCGTGGCGCCGGCCATGATTTGCTTCCAATCCAGCTCCTTGCTAACGCACCTGGGAAAGCAACAGAGGATGGCCCAAGTCCTGGGGCTCCTGCACTTGCATGAGAAATCCAGAAGAATCTCCTGGCTCCTGGCTTTGGATTGGCCCAGCTCTGGCCCTTGCAGTCATTTGGGGACTAAACCAGTGGACAGAAAACTTTCTCTCTGTCTCTCTCTCTGTCTGTAACTCTGCCTCTCAAATAAATAAATTAAAAAAAAAAAAAAAGAAAAGAAAAGAGAGAGAGAAGGAGGGAGTTAATAAATGCAACCAAAAAGGTCAAGGAAGAAGACTGTAAATGTCCATTGGAAATGCATGCAAATGTCAGTTAAACACAATTACTATCTAGAAATTGTGAACGCTATTGACTACACCATACATACATTTAAACAGAAACAAAGAGATGCCAATTCAATCTTTCCTAAAGCAATAGTAAAGGCCAAGAAATTAGAAAATGTAAATCTCTATCAAGTGACGGGCTGGTGCTGTGGTGTAGGGGTAAAGCCGCCACCTGCAGTGCTGGCATTCCATATGGGCGCTAGTTCAAGTCCCAGCTGCTCCACTTTCAATCCAGCTCTCTGCTAAGGACTGGGAAAGCAGCAGATGGCCCAAGTCCTTGGGGCCTGCACCTGTGTGGGAGACCCAGAAGAAGCTCCTGGCTCCTGGCTATGGATCGGCGCAGCTTTGGCCATTGCAGCCATCTGGGGAGTAAACCAGTGAATAAATGAAAGACCTTTCTCTCTCTCTCTAAGCCTCTGCCTCTGTGTAACTCTGCCTTTCAAATAAATAAATAAATCTTTAAAAAAAATTCTATCGAATGAAAACACTGGCTACAACAAACACGTATTTATAATAATAAAACACACCCCGGCTTCATCTCCTCTGCATCTCTACTTACTCTCTTAAATCAATAAAACTAGGCATGTTCTCTATTTTTACTTAACCTTTCTGCCTTTTTCTTTCCTTTAATCTTGGATTCCATATCTGCTATAAATAATTGTCCGAAATATTCCTGAAAGTATTCAGGCTCACATGATCTTTTATTATATGACCATCTCCTCAAAATTCCAATAACCAGGTTGGGGCGCTGGGTACTAGTCCTGGTTGCTCCTCTTGCAGTCCAGCTCTCTGCTGTGGCCCGAGAAGGCAGTGGAGGATGGCCCAAATCCTTGGGCCCTGCACCCACATGGGAGACCAGGAGGAAGCACTCGGCTCCTGGCTTTGGATCGGCGCAGCACACCTGTGGCAGCGGCCATTGGAGGGTGAACCAACGGTTAAGGAAGAGCTTTCTCTCTGTCTCTCTCACTGTCTATTACTCTCTCTCTTTGTCTCTCTCTCTCTCCCTCACTATCTAACTCTGCCTGGCAAAAAAATAAAATTAAAAAAAAAAAAAAAAAAAGACAATGCCCAACATACACAGACAGCAATGTAGACATCTGAAAAACTGTAAACACAACCTCACTTCATTCTGCACTGCTCAACACCTCCATAAGAGAAATCAACGGCAGAGAAGCTCAGGTGCAGGCAACAAGACTAGTAACATATGAAAGCTTCCTCTTTCACAACAAATACCCAGCAGAGGAGTTTACAAAGAATTTGTGCAAAATTTACACTTAGCCAAAAAAAGAATTTTAAACTATATACCTATGTCAATTCCTCTTCGGAGAGTACTTTTGTCAGAGTCCTGGTGACCAATCAGATCTTCTACCCAATGAATATAGTTGAGTCTCAAGGGAACTGTGGGAATTAGTCTCTCCACTGGAATATCAATGGAAAGTCCAAAATCTTCCCTTAGGAGAGTGCAAGTCAGGGCTCTGACTGCTTCAGGGTCTTTAAAATTAAGACTGAAGGGTAGAGAAAAAGAAGTAAAATTGATTAGTAAGAGTCACTGTGTTGTACAAGCTCTAGAGCAGTCAGGCAATTTGAATTTCCTAGACAGATCACCCATAAACAGTCACATACAGCACCAGGCACAATGGCATAAACACATGGGTACTTAACACAGTCACAGCATACTTTCAAATGCAGTACAATTTTCCACCAAAAACACTGCATTGTCTATACATGGAGCAGAGATTAAGAGTAGCTCTGCTCAAATTCCTGACTGTCCCCTCACTTAGCTATGTAGCTTTGGACAAGTTAAGTGAGCCTATGTCATAGTGCTGGTGTCAGATAATCTGTGAACAGTACACAGCACAGTGACTGGTACACAGTAATTACTTTACTAATGCTGGTTTTTGTTTTTTACTATTAACATCATTTGACATTAGTATTGTTTGAAGATGATTCCTGAAAATGGAAAGAAGTGTAATGTTCAACAATGAAAACAGAATCAGAACTTAAATTTCACACATTATTAGACATCAAATTTAAAATGTAACTACTTTTAACAGCTTTATGAAGCATAATTTACAAACTATAAAATCTACCTTAGGGATATAAATAAATACCTCCTAATATATTAGCAGAATTAAAGAACTACCGTCATAAATCAACTTAAGAACACTCCCATCACCTGCATCTCATGCCCATTTCCAACTCCAGGCCTAGACAGCACTTTATGCACTTTCTACCATTGGAGATTTGCCTTTTCTGGACATTTCATATCATTGAAATCATATAATATGTAGTCTTTTGAGTTTGGATTCTTTCATTTAGCACAATGTTTGTGAGGTTTATCTATGTTATAATATGTATCAGTACTTCTTTTTTTTTTTAAGATTTATTTATTTATTTGAAGGGCAGAGTTATAGAGAGGCAGGCAGAAAGAGAGAGAGGTCTTCCATCCGCTGGTTCACTCCCCAGATGGCCACAACGGCCAGAGCTGGGCTAATCTGAAGCCAGGAGCTTCTTGGGTTCAGGGTCCCAAGAACTTGGGCCATCTTCTACTACTTTCCCAGGCCACAGCAGAGAGCTGGATCAGAAGTGGAGCAGGATTCGAACCAGTGCCCATATGGGATGCCGGCGCTGCGGCATATTTACCTGCTAAGCCACAGCACTTGCCCCTCTTCACTCCTTTTACATGCAAGTAACATTAACATTCCATTGTACCAATAAGCCCACACTTGCTTATCCATTCACCAGTCAACGGACACTTGGATTGTTTCTACTTTTTGGTTATTATGAACAATAATATACAAGTCTTTTTATAAACATATATTTTCATTTTGTTTTGGGAAATTCAATGAGGAATTGATCATGTGATGTACTGATGTTTAATTTTTTAAGAAGTTTGTGTCAATGTAACTATTTTGATATGAAAATGCTGCTAAGCTGAAAATCTTAAAAAGAAAGACCAAGACAGGAATTTGGCACAGTAGTTAAGATGTCACTTGGAATGTCGACATACCATATCAGAGTGCCTGGGTTTAAGTTGTGTCTCCATTTCAGATTTGTTAATGCACACCTGAGATGCAATGGATGATGGCTCAGGTAGCTGGGCCCTTGTCATCCATATGGGAGACGTGGATAGAGTTCCAGGCCCTGGCTTCAGCCTGGCCCAGCCCCAGCTGTTATCACCATTTAGGGAATCAACTAGTGACTAGAAGTTCTCAGTCTCTGTCTCTCTGCCTTTCAAATAAATAAAAACATTTTTTAAAAGAGAAAGCCAACAAACTATTTATAAACAGGGGGATGAGAAGAAAGAACAGAAAGTCAATAAATAGGACTATAAAAAATGGGAAGGTTTTGAAATTTCTGCATAGGATTCTAGTCTTCGGTTGTATGGTCTGAGAGCTGACCATTCTCAAACAACTTCTGACCTACCTCATCTTTTCTGTTCCCTCTTTGGTTATCAAAAGCACAATCATTTGAAAGATTCAATGACAATCTGCTTGAATGCCACAACAGAAGGAACAGTGCTGTGTCCACCTGGCTACCATGGAAACCTCAGCTTGGTACCCTTAACCCAAGCTCCCTCTATCACCCACAAAAAATACGCTCTAGTACGGGAACTGGGAAACCTGGACTTTGATCTTGGCTTTGCAGTCAATTTGTCATGGACTTAAACAAGTCACTATAGTTCTTAAAATTCAGTATCTCTGTAAAATTAAGAGATTGGACCAGATAATGTAAGGGTCAGTTCAGCTAGAATTTTACAATTATGAACATTCAAGAACTCAAGGAATATAGTTCCCACTAGCCTTTTGTGAAGGAATTCCTTTCCTCTCCTCTCCTCTCCTCTCCCCTCCCCTCCCCTCCCCTCCCCTCCCCTCCCCTCCCCTCCCCCTCCCCTCCCCTCTCCTCTCCTCTCCTTTCCTTTCCTTTCCTTTCCTTTTCCTGACAGGCAGAGTGGATAGTGAGAGAGACAGAGAGAAAGGTCTTCCTTTTGCCATTGGTTCACCCTCCAATGGCCGCCGCGGCCCATGCACCGCGCTCATACGAAGGCAGGAGCCAGGTGCTTCTCCTGGTCTCCCATGGGGTGCAGGGCCCAAGCACTTGGGCCATCCTCCACTGCACTCCCAGGCCACAGCAGAGAGCTGGCCTGGAAGAGGGGCAACCAGGACAGAATCCGGCGCCCCGACCAGGACTAGAACCCGGTGTGCCGGCGCCACTAGGCGGAGGATTAGCCTAGTGAGCCGCGGTGCCGGCGAGGAATTTCTAATGAAAGAAATCCAGGCTGTCACTGTAGTGTAGCAGGCTAAGCCTTCACTTGTGGTGCTGGCATCCCATAGGGCGCCGGCTTGAGTCCCGGCTGCTCCACTTCCGATACAACTCTCTGCTATGGCCTGGGAAAGCAATAGAGGATGGTCCAAGTGCTTGGGCCCCTGTACCTATGTGGGAGACCCTGAAGAAGCTCCTGGCTTTGGATCTGCCCAACTCCTGCCGTTGAGGCCATTTGGGGAGTGAACCAGTGGATGGAAGACCTTTCTCTCTGTAACTCTACCTCTCAAATAAATAAAATCTTAAAAAAAAGTTCAGTCAGCAGGCGCCGCGACTCACTAGGCTAATCCTCCGCCTAGCAGCACCGGCACACCGGGTTCTAGTCCCGGTTGCCCCTCTTCCAGGCCAGCCCTCTGCTGTGGCCAGGGAGTGCAGTGGAGGATGGCCCAGGTGCTTGGGCCCTGCACCCCATGGGAGACCAGGAAAAGCACCTGGCTCCTGGCTCCTGCCATCGGATCAGCGTGGTGCACCGGCCGCAGCGCGCCGGCCGCGGCGGCCATTGGAGGGTGAACCAATGGCAAAGGAAGACCTTTCTGTCTCTCTCTGTCCACTCTGCCTGTCAAAAATAAAAATAAATAAATAAATTATATAAAAAAAAAGTTCAGTCAATCGAGAGATAAATATACAAACTGTGGCACAAGCGGTGACAATGAGTGTTGAAGCCATTTTAACCAGAGAACTGATGAAAACACCTATAAACTGTGCCTACCTAGTAAAATGCAAATGTTTACAAGTCATGCTAATATATGCATCATTAAAACTCAGGATGATAAACAAGAAAGGAAGAGGAAGTTAAATACATTATTTCCTCATCTTTCATTATTTTTTTAAGATTTATTTATTTGAATGCAGAGTGACAGAGGGAGAGGGAGGAAGAGACAGAGACAGGGGTCTTCTATCCACTACTTCACTCCCCAAATGTCTATAAGTGCAGGGTCTGGGCCAGGACAAAGCCAGGAGCCAGGAACTCCATCTTGGTCTCCCGTATGAGTGGCAAGGACCCAAATACTCTGATCATCATCTGTTACTTTTTTCTTTTTTTTTTTTTGACAGGCAGAGTAGACAGTGAGAGAGAGAGACAGAGAGAAAGGTCTTCCTTTGCCGTTGGTTCACCCTCCAATGGCCGCCGCGGCTGGCACACTGCGGCCAGTGCACCACGCTGATCCGATGGCAGGAGCCAGGTACTTCTCCTGGTCTCCCGTGGGGTGCAGGGCCCAAGCATTGGGCCATCCTCCACTGCACTCCCTGGCCACAGCAGAGAGCTGGCCTGGAAGAGGGGCAACTGGGACAGAATCCGGTGCCCCGACCGGGACTAGAACCCGGTGTGCCAGCGCCGCAAGGCGGAGGATTAGCCTAGTGAGCCGCAGCACCGGCTATCATCTGTTACTTTCCAAGACACATTATCAGAAAGCAAGATTGGAAGCAGAGGAGCTGGGTCTCAAATGGACGCTCTGATTTGGGATGTGGGCAATGCAAACTGTGGCATAACCTGCTGCAGCACACAACACCTGCCGTGTTCTCATCTTTTATATATGGGGTCAAAACATTTCATTTAAAATGGATAAATTAAGTGGAAAGGTATAAGTAAATATATAAGACTATAAACACTAGAGGAATCAAGAGAATAACATAATCAAATAAAATCAGGTGGTCAAAGAGAGGTGAAAAAACCAGATCATACAATGCAAAGAAATAAAAATAAATAAATAAATAAATAAATAAAGCACTATAGGGGGCAGGCATGGCCACTTCTTGCTATCCTGGCATACAATATCAGATGCTGATTCACGTTCTGGCTGCTCTGCTTCCTCAAGCACCAGGGAAGGCTACAGGTGATGATGGCTCAGTATTTAGGCTCCTGCTACCCACTTAGGAGACCAAATGGAGTTCCTGGCTCCTGACTTCAGCCTGGTCCTGTTCTGGCTGTTATGTCCATCTGGGAGATTGCATGTTTTCTCTCTCTCTCTCTGCCATTCTGCTTTTCAAATAAAAATGAGTCTTAAAAAAAAAATGGGGACCAGCACTGTGGTACAGAGAGTTAAAGCCCAGGTCTGTAGGCATCCCATATGGGCGCTGGATCAAGCTCCAACTGCTACATTTCCTAAACAGCTCCCTGTTAATGTGCCTGAGAAAGCAGCAGGTGGCCCAAGTCCTTGGACCCCTGCACCCACGTGGGAGACCCAGAAGAAGCTTTGGATCGGCTCAGCTCCAGCCTTTGCAGCCATCTGGGAAGTGAAATAGCAGAGGGAAGATCTCTCTTCCTTTTTCTCTGTCTCTACCTTTCTCTGTAACTTTGTCCAACAAATAAATAAAATAAATCTTTTGAAAAAATGAAGCACATTACAGAAATTTAAATCTAAATTAATAAATTCATATATAAGATTCTTGGATTGGGGCTGGTGCTGTGGCATAGAAGGTTAAGCTGCTACCTGCAGTGCTAGCAAACCATATGGGCACCAGTTTGAATCCCAGCTGTTCTGCTTTGGATCGAGCTCCCTGCAAATGTGCCTGGGAAAAGCAGCAGAGGATGGCCCAAGTACTTGACGTCCTGCACCTATGTGAAAAACCTGAAGGAAGCTCCTGGCACCTGGCTCTGGCCTGGCCCAGTGCTGGCTGTTATAGCCATTTGGGGAGTGAACCAGCAGGTGGAAGATCTTTTTCTCTCTCCATCTCTGCTTTTCAAATAAATAAATAAAATCTTAAAAAAAAAAAAAAGACTCTTGGATCAGTTCAGAGACAAAACCAATTAACTACAATAAACTATGTAGTAAGTGAAAACTATGCCTACATATTTCTCTGCCTCTGTCTTTCTCTGCTTTTCAAATAAAAACAAAAATTAAATAAGTTTAAGGAGGGGGGCATTCAGTGCAGAGTTAACACACTGCTTTAATGTCAGTGCACCATTTCAAAGTGTCTGGGCCTAAATTCCAGTTCTGCTTCCATATCCCACTTCGTGCTAATACATTCCCTGGCAGACAGCAGGTGACAGCTCAAGGACTTGGATCACTGTTACCAACATGGGAAACCCACACTGAGTTCTGGGAAACTGTTTCAGCCTAGCTGAGCCCTTGCTGTTATGAACTTTAAGGGAGCTCAGTTGGAAAATACGAGGTTTTTTTCCTCTCTCTCACTGCCTTTCAAATATAAATGAAAAATAAAAGTTTTAAATGACACTGACAACAAAGAGATTCAAAGTCTTAAATAAAAATTTAAGTGAAAGTATACCAGAAACTGCAAATTAAAAAAAAAATAACAGGAGTTATGATCTGACAATGGACAGGCTTAAATTTTACAGGAAAAAAAGGATTAAATGAAACAAAGAAGCGATTGTGTGGGACTGGGAAAAAATACGGCATGCTAGATTGAGGTCAGAAGAGCAGTAACTTTTAAAAGTAATTGACTTTACATTTAGGTAGAGATTGGTGATCTTTTAAAGAATAGCTTCCACAGAACACTGGAAGTAGAAGGTTATTGTATTAAATATATGCTAGCAATAAAAAGTCTCATTAAAATATATTTAGCTCATTTAAAGGGATATTAAGTCTATTCTTAGACATCAGAAGTAGACAGATATTAATTTTGTCATTTGTGGGGGCAGATAAAAGAGAGCTAATCCACGGGCAAGAAACCATGAACACATTTCTGCTTCACTCAATCGCACAGCAACTGCCTCAATCAATTTCCACGTAAAAAAGAGAAAAAGACTTGTATTTCTTTTGTATTTCTTCCTCAATAAAAAGCAGTACAAACTCAGGATCAACAATATATATTATGTAGCAATAAAAAGGCATGAAATCTATGAAAACTTTTACATGAAATCTATGAAAACTTACAAAAATACTGTATTTTACTCCTATGAAATTAGTCAAGTGCATGAAGAAAATGGGCCAACTCTATCTCATACAATTACATAAGAATGAAAATCGATTTTCACACATGGAAAGAAGTTCATACCTGCATACCTCACTAAGGCATTCAAATGCATCAGTCTTTGAATCCCACATATCCACTGTTCTACAGTGGCCCAATCTACTGCTCAGCTTCATCATTAAATACACAAAAGGAAAATATTCCAATATAAAGTCTTAAAAATCAAATTCAAAGTCAAAAATCTCAAATGTAAAATTTCAGAAAATTTCTATTAAAGATAATTAATAATCTAGATAACTTAAAAACCTGATGAATAGTACATCCAAGAAAAGGACATACTAACATTAACTACTGCCTTATAGCTTCTGAACATTTTTTTGCACTATCATTTCAAAGAAATTGTGAAAATCAGGGATTATAAACTCTAGTACTTACAGGAGACAGCTATTGATATTACTCAAAATGGCAATCCCTGACAAGACAAGAAGCTTGTGCCAGAGCATCTATCAACATACTCATGACAGTCATCCAACCAAAGAAATGAACCAAACACACGGCACAAAGTCCTCACCTTGCAGACAGTACCAGTTTGTGGCTGAGCAGCCAGTTCAATGACCACACCTTTGAGAGAATGATGCCAGTGACTAAAATGATTACTCCAAAGTTATGGCCACCACTCAGTTCTAGGCAAGTAATGTGTAGGGAGTTTGTTAGCCCAGTTTTGCCAGATCTCCTATTTTCAAACAAAATTAGCAATCAATATTTTCATATGAAATTTCTTCAAATCTTATGATCTATACGGGCAACACACAGTAACTACAAGGCTGACAGGTTGTATCCTCTATTGTACCTAATGGAACTGTAAGGAAAGGGGGGTACTTGTTATTCCACAGTTTTAAATGGTAAAATACAAACAATATTTCTCTTTGGGGCTGGTGGGTGCTGTGGCCCAGCAGGTTAAGCCACCATCTGTAGCTCCAGCATCCCACGTGGGCACCAGTTCAAGTACCAGTTGCTCCACATCCGATCCAGCTCCCTGCTGATGCGCCTGAGAAGCAGAAGATGGCCCAAGTGCTTGGGCCCTTGCACACAAGTGGGAGACCTGGATGAAGCTCCTGGCTCCTGGCTTTGATCTGGCCCAGCCCTGGCCATTGCAGTCATTTGGGGAGTGACCCAGCAGATGGAAGATCTCTCTCTCTAACTCCACCTTTCAAATAAATAAATCAATCTTAAAAAAAAAAAAGTTTCTGGCCGGCGCCGCAGCTCACTAGGCTAATCCTCCGCCTAGCGGCGCCGGCACACCGGGTTCTAGTCCCGGTTGGGGCGCCGGATTCTGTCCCGGTTGCCCCTCTTCCAGGCCAGCTCTCTGCTGTGGCCAGGGAGTGCAGTGGAGGATGGCCCAAGTCTCCCCATGGGAGACCAGGATAAGTACCTGGCTCCTGCCATCGGATCAGCACGGTGCACCGGCCGCAGTGCGCCAGCCGCGGCGGCCATTGGAGGGTGAACCAACAGCAAAGGAAGACCTTTCTCTCTGACTCTCTCTCACTGTCCACTCTGCCTGTCAAAAAAAAAAAAAAAATCTGTACAAAAATTGGAATACTGGTATTTATATATATTCCTTTATTCAGGCAATGGATATCGATTGTAACCTAACTGCCAGGCATTGTGTAAAATGTTAGAGATACTGCAGTAAGCAAGCACAAACATGAAGCTTCCCTTCATGAAGCTAACAGTCTTATAGAGGACATCAATCAATCCAAGAACCACTCAAACACACATAACAGTTAACTGTGATAAACACTATAAAACATAGGTACAAGGTGCCATAAAACCTATGCAATAAGTGGATCTGTTTTCAGAGGTCAGGGAAGATTTCTCCACAGAGGTGATAGAGCAAAGAACTGAGAGAAAAATTAGCAAAGGAAAAGAATAGGAGAAGGGAACATGCATTCTAGCAGTCCTACACGAAAAGAGCAGACCTAAGGCAAGTGTGAGCTCCTAGGGCATCCCAGGTGCTGAGAGACAGCCACCACATCTAAAATGCACAGGACAAGGTAAGTAAGCTTCACTCAGGATGAGGCTGCAGAGGAAGACAGAGGCCAGATTATGCAGGGCCTTACAATTAGGGCGATCATTGGAATTCGGTCATCAAATCTGCGTCTTTTTTGAAAGTAAAAGCTCTTAATAATGAATCACATCAGGATAATTACAGTCCATGTTAAAGATTTAGGTCTGGTATGGTGTAAAAAATAGACCAAAGTGAAATTAGTTACCAAATAGAAAGCTATTGTTGGGGCCCGTGTTGTGGTGCAGCAAGTTAAGCTGCCACCTGCAATGCCAGCATCCCATGTGAGCACTGCTGCAGGTCAAGGCTGCTCCACTTCCAATCCAGCTCCCTGCTAATGCACCAGGGAAAGCAGTGGAAGATGGCCCAAGTGCTAGGGCCCCTGCAGCCACATGAGACTGGGACAGAGTTCCTGGCTCCTGGCTTCAGTGTGGCCCAGCTCTGGCCATTGAGGCCATCTGAGGAGTGAACCAACAGATGGAAGCTCTGTCTGTCTCTCTCTCAGTAACTCTGCCTTTCAAATAATACATAAATCTCCAAAGAAAGAAAGCTATTGCTGTACCTAAGAGACTAGATAATGCTGACAATAGCAGAGACAGGGAAAAATGATAAGAATTCAAAGCTTTTTTGGAGGGAAATGTTATGAAGGTTGGCGATGGACTGACATGTGAGATGAGGAAGAATACGTCTCAAATTTGCCTCCTAAGGTTCAACAGGATTGACAATGTCATCCACTGAAGACAGGAAATCTGGCAGAGAAACATTTTTAAGGAGAAATATGAGCTGCATTTGAGACATTGAAGTGGAAACACAGAGTGAGCAGTGATCTCTAGGAATGGAGCCTAGGCAAGAGGTTTGTATAAATGTGTAAGTGGTTTGCAAACAAACAAGTGAAACAATGCCATAGGTTAGAGTGACTAAGGAGGAAAAACAAAGAGCAAAGTACATACAATCAGAGAGGAAGCTCCACAAGGAGAAAAGGGAGCCCAAAGAATAAGAAGGAAAACTAGAACCATGCGGTGCCAAGAGAGCCAAGGGTAGGGGGTGTCTATAAGGAGAGGTCAACAAAGGTCAAATGAGGGCAGGACACCCACATCCCATATGGGAATGCCTGAGTTTAAATCCTGGTTCCGCTCCCACCAATGTGCACCCTGGAAGGCAGCAAGTGATGGCTCAAGGTCTTGGGTCCCTGGGAAACCCAGACTGAGTTCCCAGATCCTGGTTTCGACCTGGATACAAATGCTGTTGCAGGCATTTGGGGAGTAAACCAGTGGATGGGAGATCGATCTCTCTCTCGCTGTCTTTCGGTGTTTCAAACACTTAAATAAGTAAATGAAAATGTTTAAGAAGAAAACATTTAGGATAATTAAGTACAGTGAGGAAAAATGGAGACAGTAAAAACAGACTTTCCAAGAACATAGGTTGCTATGGGGGCGAAGAGAGATGGGGCAGTAGAGTTGATAGAGAAGCTTTATTAACTTTTTTAAGTGAAAAACTTAAGCATGTTTAAAGTCAGTGGAGGGGCAGGGATTGTGGTGTAGTGGGTAAAGCCACTGCCTGCAGTGCCAGTATCTCATATGTCGCCAGTTCAAGACCCAGTTGCTCCACTTCTGATCCAGCTCTCTCTATGCACTGGGAAAGCAGCAGAAGACACCCCAAGACCTTGGGCCCCTACACCCAAGTGGGAGACCTGGAGAAGCTCCTGGCTCCTGGCTTCGGATCAGCCCAGCTCTAGCTGTTACAGCTACTTGGAAAATGACAGCTGATGGAAGACCTCCCGCTCGCGTGCTCTCTCTCTCTCTCTCTGCCTCTCCGTAACTCTGCCTTTCAAATAATAAATATATCTCAAAAAAAATAAATAAATAAAGTCAATGGGAAGTCAAAAAGAATAATCAAATCCCTACAGCAGAAAATAGATTAGCTGTTGCCAGATACTGGAGGGAGAGGAATGTGTAGTGACTGCTAGGATATGGGGTTTCTTTCTGGGGCAATAAAAATATTAAGGAATTAGATATTGCTGATGCTTGCACAACCATGTCAACATACAAAAATAACTGAATTGTACACTGAAAATGGTGTATTTTGTGGTATGTGAATTAATGTCAATTTTTAAAAACTTAAGTGGAAAGAAAAGACAGTCAACAGAGACAAATTATACATTTAAGACAAAGATCACCACACTGTGCATAACTCTAGAGATGGAGAAAGGTGGGGGATCTAAAGGAAAAGATGGAGTCTTTAACTTAATTAGAATACAATAATAATTATTATTGGTTTCCAACAGAACCAAAACTCAACCCATCATCTCTCTAAGGACCTAAAATCCTATCTTTACCATAAGCTAGTTGGGAAAAAAAATCTCATGAGTACTTCAGGGGAAAAAAAATCAATATTGTGGCTTCTCCACAAGCTCATATCTATCTCTGGGCTTAAGAATATAATAAAAACATTTAAGTAGTTTTTAGTGCTGATATTTACATATTTCAACTGCTAAAATTTTGGTAAATTTCACCTATTAAACTAAATGGCCAGGGCCAGCGCTGTAGCGTAAGGGGTAAAGCTGCCGCCTGCAGTGCCGGCGTCCCATATGGGTGCCGGTTCAAGTCCCAGCTGCTCCACTTCCAATCCAGCTCTCTATGGCCTGCGGGAGCAGTAGAAGATGGCCCAAGTTCCTGGGCCCCTGCATGCATGTGGGAGACCCAGAAGAAGCTTCAGATCGGCGCACTTCCGGCCGTTGAGGCCAACTGGGGAGTGAACCAGCAGATGGAAAACCTCTCCCTCTCTCTCTCTTTGTCTCTCTCTCTCTCTCTCTAACTCTGACTTTCAAGTAAAAATAAATCCTAAAAACAAACAAACAAAAAACAAATAAATGGCCTTACCAACCAACAATCAAATTCAGAAAACAATTTAAAAGTGGGTAAAGGACTTGAATAGACATTGCTCCAAAGATACACACGGCTAAGATGCTAATGAAATGGGACCGGCACTGTGGCAAAGCAGGTAAAGCGTCAGCCTGCAGTGCAGGCATCCCATATGGGTGCTCATTCAAGTCCCAGCTGCTCCACTTCCAATCCAGCTCCCTGATGATGTGCCTGGGAAGGAAACAGAAGATGGCCCAAGTGCTTGGGCCCCTGCACCCATGTGGGAGACCTGGATGAAAACTCCTGGCTCCTAGCTTCAAATTGGCCCAGCTCCAGCCATTGCAGCCGTTTGGGGAGTGAACCAGCAGATGGAAGACTTCTCTCTCTCTCTACCTCTTCCTCTCTGTAACTTTGCCTTTCAAATAAATAAGTAAATCATTAAAAAGAAAAAAATAAAAGAAATGGTGATCAGCATCACTAATTATTAGGTAAATGCATTTGAAAACCATAAGATTATCACCTCATACCTGTTAGGATGGCCAATATGTTTAAAAAAAAAAGTACAGAATAATAGGTTGTTGAAGATGGGGGCAAAATTATATACAGTTAGTAGGAATGTGAAATAGTACAGCTACTATGGAAAACAGAATAGAGGTTCCTCAAAAAATTAAAAACAAGGGCAGGCATTTGGCCTAGTTGTTTTTATTTATTTATTTATTATTTTTTTGACAGGCAGAGTGGACAGTGAGAGAGAAAGAGAGACAGAGAGAAAGGTCTTCCTTTTGCCGTTGGTTCACCCTCCAATGG